GCTGTGATTGTGGCAAATGGTAACACAACTAAATATTAGTTACTTAGTACAAAATGTAGATCTTAATCGGCTTTAAATAAAATATTAATTGATCGTTTATTGTTAATGCAAAAAATTATGTTTTATATTGAGTGAAAAAGTGTGTAGATACTTTTGTCCACCCTCTGTAGTTACTTTTATTATAATCATACTTTTTATTTTTAGTCCTAAAGGATATAACTATAAAGAGGAATGATTGTATATAAAAAAATTTTAATGATTTTAATAATTTTAATTAAACTTTAATTTTTTTTTAATTTTAAAATACCTAAATTTGAATATAAATTATTTTTTAGATATTAAATAATAATAATAATAATAATAATATATATATATATATAAATTAAATAATATATATATATTATTATTAAATTTTATTATTATCTATAAAGATTTAATTAAATTTAGATAAATTAATTTTTTAAATTTAAATGATATCCGTTGCATATTTATATGCACACGGTAATTACTTCTTTTAATAGGTTAAAAATGCTTAAAATTAAAAACGTTTAGGTTAAAGTATAAAAAATCAAACTCAAATGATAAATCATAATTTCACGTGTACGAATTTGTGTAACTTTTATTGTATTAAAAAAATGGCAAGCCAAATTATTTTTAATTGTTCACGATGACTAATAATTCAAATTCAAATAACTTCAAATTTGTTTAAAGAAAATCATGGAAACAATATTTGGTGTACACCATGATACTGCTAGTTTAAGAGAAAAAAATCGCAAGAAGCTCAATAAAAATGATAGTCAAGAGCAGCTTGGTTTAACGAATAAGAATAGTGTAGAAGACACTATTCAGAAGACGACACAAACAAAACAAGAGCCTTCAAAATCTTTTGAAAAACTTGGGTCTATTCATTCAATTTTTAGAGAGAGATTTTCTAAATCACCGATCGTTTCTCCTCACGTAACTCCACCAGGCTCTCGTCCTTCCACTCCGTTGTCATTTGATGTGCAACAAAATGGCGATAACTTTTTTGATCATATTAATTCTAGTTCTCAAACTCAAACGCAAGCGCCGCCTTTTCACCACGATGCTACATTCATTCAGAATGTAAAAAAATTCCCTTGTATAGGAGTTATTGAAGGTGATATTATCAACCGTCCTTCTTCTCCTTGGAGTTTACAAGCAAAAAGTGGGAATGAATTTGGGAATGGAACTGAAAAGAATTTATTTAAGAAGAACTAATATATAAACGGAGTTGTTTTTTTTTTATTTTTATTTTTCTTTATATATAAAGTATATTTGTATAATAAAATGTGGATGAACAATTTTTGTTATAATGATCCAATTAAAATTATTTTATTACACAATATAAACTAATAAATAAAAACTAACTCTTGAGATTATAGTAAATTATTTCGTGAACATGACTGCAAATCCAGCAGAAGTTATTTCAAGTGCTCAGAAATCTACCTCACAGCTTCTGTTTTTTGACACATTAACAGCAAGTAATTTTAGTAGCGACGAACTTCCAACAGAATGCATTAGATTTCACCAACGTGTCGTTTTGTCTGAGATAAGGGTAGTTCCAAAACATTTTCGTCCGTTTAAAGGCAGTCGTAAAAATGATCATGTAGGGTGGGTACTTTGAAGTCGCAAAAATTAATTATCTACTTTAAAACTTCTAATGACGTATTCGCGTATATTATTGAAATAACTAACCAAACATCGAACTTTTATAGACAGACTTCCCCTAATAAATTTGACCTAAATCTTCTTATTCATAAAACTCTTACTGCCGATTCAGCTAAACCACCAGAAAAGCGACCACCAACTTTACCTTTACACCCCTTAACAATTTCTTTCGACGAAAAGAAAGGATTCCTTAGCTATGATGTCACTCTATTGCCTGAAGTGAGTATTTTAGTTGTTATTTACATTGTAAAATCATTATTCATCATATTTTAAACTTTTAAATGTAGGCCACTACGCGTTTTATAATACTTCGTGGAAATTACCAACATGTGACATTATGTATTTATGGAAGAGTCATGGAAAGTAGCAAGCCTCAAAATATAAAATCTAAGGATAAAATAGGTGCATCTACAATTTGCAAAAGTTAACACAATAAAAAAAGATAACTTGGATACATTTTTTCTTAACGGAACTGATTTAACTAATTCTGAACCATTCGTAGAATCATCATCAACGTCAATCATGGGTAATAATATAGAGATAAAAGTTGAAGAAAATTCACTTGGAAATATATCTATTAAAAAAGATGATGATAGAATTGATGAAATGGACTCTACCGAACCTCTAGAGACTTTTAATCATGATGTTATAATGGACGGTGTTCAGGAAGAACAAAATACTCCCGTAACAGACTCTTCATCGGTTCAAATTCTTGACGAGTTAAAAGCTACTGAAGGACAATTTGTAACAACAATGGAAGAAGATGCATTCTATTTAGATGATGGACATAGAGATACTAACTCTGATGCTGATAAGATAAGTACATTGTTGAACAAAGATCGTGCTGGAGCTTTCAGAATATTGTCTCCTGCGAATGCGGTTGACTTTTCTGTTTGGAATTTGGATGAAAAATTAAATAAAGATATACTTGTGGTAAATAATATACGACATTTAAGTATTCTTTGTTATTAATATTTGAATATCTTAATGAATTTCTTTTTCCCTCACTCTAGTATCATACATCACCGGATGAACCACCTTTATCACGAGCTTCTAAGCCAATATTCAAAAAAGCTTGGGATGAACTTAACATTTATGAGAAACAAATTCATTCGTTCTTGTCTATGATGGATATTGAAAATAAGATGGATATTAACTCTTATACTGAAGGAACTTCAATTCCATTTGAAGAATTGCTCCATCAACTCAGCAATGTAATTGTGGAAGGATTTCTCTGGGCAAAGTGCAATATGATTCAATATGAAGGTAAGAATTTTTTGTTGGTTGTATTAACATTATGATTATTATGATTTTGACATTGTCTTAACATTATCCTTTATCATGTCTTAGACGAATTGAATACAGTATATAAAGGTGTACTGTTCGCTCTTGATATGACAACAGGAAAGGTGAACAATCACAGATTGTTTTTTTTACTTAGAAATGATTGATGTTCCACGCATACAAAGTTGATGCTGGCAATAATTTACCAGTTCTAATTTCATGTGACGCAATCTGATAGTCTACCGTGAAATTATTTGAAAATGGCCTAACGTTGTTCTGCAAACTGTGTTCATGTGGTGAAGAGATAATTAATTCTTCAATGGTAAATAGATATAAAATATTTCTAACGCTCTTAATTTTCATGAAGTGTAAATTCTTATAAATTATAATATTTAGATCCAGACCTGCCTAAACCTGATGGTATCTCTTCTAAAAGAACAGTTTGTGTCGTCAACTTTGCAAATTATTATACTGCGCGGATTATTGGAGTGCATAGGAGAACCGCGAGTTGCTGAAGAATTCTTGCGTTATAGTAATAATGAGGATAATACAGGAAATACATTATACAAAACTTTTATTTTACCTATGTTACAAATCAAAAATCTGCCTTTGCGCATTTTACATTTACTACAAGCTATCGTACACAAAGTTGCTATTTATGAAGCCTGTACAGATCTTCAACAGTTAGCGGAAGAAAAATTACAACCTGGAATGAAAATGAAGAAAAAAGAAGAATCATCGATTAATTTCGACAATCAAAAAATATATAGTATTTCGAATTCAAATAACAATGTACAGAAACTAGAGGATGTTGAATTTATCATCGATCGAGTGTGCAATTGCTTACATATCGTTTCTAAAGCAGCTTTATATTATATGGCTTTACATTCAGGGGAAGATTCCAATCAAAATTACCCACCCATCTTTTCTTTTAAATATCTCACTTCTTGTCACTTTTTTCCAGCCATTACAATTATTATGTCATCGCACCGAGTGCGTTCGTGTTCGAGATTTCATGAAATTGTGAATTCTATCGGTCGATTATGCGTTATTTTAATGGGTGCTCCGATTAGCATGCTTTATCTGGTCAAACAATTACAACAACCTAATGAATTATTTGGTGACTGTTTATTAATTATATGGTCAACAATTTTACGTCAACATGATGGCATTTCAATAGAAGATTCTTCAGAACCCTTTTCAAATTCTTATCCGATAACAGATATAAATGAATTAAGACGAACACCAGGTATTGGGGATATATGGTTTGGTTTTGGTCAATCTACAACAGGTGGAAATTATGATGAGGATTATGATTATATCTGCGATTATAGCGAAGATGATTTTACCTTTACAAACAAAAAAGATTATGAGGATTCTGTCTTGAAAAAGGCACGGCGGATTTTGAGTATGCAAAGCTGTGGTGCTATTGGTGCAGAGACAGGTTCTTTGGATAATTGTATTATTCCATCCGATCAATTAGTAATATTATTGACATATCAGCTACATGCTGTCGCTATTATTGAAAGGTTATTGGAATATGGAAAAAGTGACAACCATACTTACGTAGAATATGCCAAAATATCGAAATTATTGAATGATTTATTTGAATTGACCACATTTAACGTTGGAAAGCAGGTCACTATTTTAATTCCTTAATGATTACGATATTCGATAAGCTCCTCACTGCAAGAAATATAGTAATCCATGATATGATGACTTATATTTTACATTAATAGGCCGTAGCATCTGCAGTTATTTATCTCGATGCTCTATCGACCATTTTATCTCTTGCGAGTTTTAGTCCTGCACAAGAATTTGTATCGGCTTCCGTTTCAAGTACTGACTCTAATGCTCTAGGACGTATTCCTTTGGAACTTTTGGAAATTATTATAAAGTTCTCTTCGTCATTTCCATTTTTATTAACACCACAAATCCATGAACTTGTGAATCCTTTTATTTCTTCCGAAAGTCACTTACGTTCATTATGGGATCCAATTGCTGCCTTTCACGAAACTGGAAACATTCAAGGAGTTATCGATGTTATTAAACATCAAAAAGATTATCCTGAATGTTTAAGAGATCATAATTCTGTTAATCAAATACTTGTTTCTCTTAGGCTTTTAATGTCATATACATATAATGAAAGTGGTATTCTGCATATTTTGAAAGCTCGGATGGATGACTTTAGTGGTTTTGATAATGGTGACAGTTTTTTGGTTTTCTTATTAAGGCTTTTAAATCACGCTGCCGAAGTTCTATCCGATTTGAGCGATTTTGTTGTTTATGCAGATGCAGAACATCAATCTACATCAGAATACACTTATACATCAGATGGCTTAAATTCTGAAAATCATGACGAATCCAAATTTCAAGAAATGTCAAAATCCAATGGAAGTATATCTGAAAATAGAAATGATCATTCAAATAATAATGCACCTACTTTTATACAGTCTATCGAGGTCTTTGAACTTCGAAGAGAATTACTTGATCTAGTTTGGTATAATTTAATATTAATACGTAGACTTCTTCGATCGGTTTATGGAGACCCTGAAGGAAGTGCAGCTAAAAGACATTTCAGAGATATATATGGTGAAAATGAATCACCAGATGACCCTTCACCATCTCAAAAAAAATCGATGGTTCGAATTTGTGTTGAGCCATGGCTCATGCTTGTGTCTGCTTTAGATCATTTAGACGGACGTTTAAGTGACCAACTCGGAGCTACTTCATTAATAAGTAGTGATCAACCATTGAAAAATGGACAATCTGCACAGATTGCACGCATTCGTGGTCTTATTTTAGGTTTATTTGGTTTATTAACTCAGATTGTTATTGAAGAAAAACCTATACAACGTGAGGAAGTGCGAGGCATAAATTATAGAGCTCGTTTTTTCTCTGATTTTACTGGTCGTCATGTGGTTAGGCAATTAGTTGATTTTATATTTGATGGACCCAATAATTTCCTTAGCGGATTGCATATTTTAAGTGAGATATTACCAACACCATTGCTTTCTCAACGTTTCATTAGAAATTCACATTGTTCTGCGGATAATTCTATAGAAGGAAAATTAGGAAAATTAGAAAGTGATGATTTTACTATTAATTGGCAGCAAAGTCAACAGGAGGCACGTATCTTACGAGATTATTGGATTAAGCAATTACTTCCTTTACGCGATGATTTAATTTACCTCACCAAAAGTATAGCTCCTTCGAGTTCGAAAATATTGCATATGATGCTTCGTACTGTCATATGTCAATTGGTTGATTTAGATTTCTTGGATATTGGTATAGGAAAGGGAATAGTAGCTGTTATTGTCAAAGGCGTAAGAGAATCTTTTGAGCAATTCAAATCGCTTATTGAAAAGTCAGAAAAGCGGAACGTCAGTATTAATATTGCTATTGATGACTTGAAAGGGGAAGAATCTGAAATGACGAATGATGATATGACCATCTCTTCAGACATTCATATTAAATTAGCAATATTTGGACGATGGATGAGCCTTTTGACGTCCTTATGTGGGACCTCATCCGGAAGGTCATTACTTCTTGATTCTGTAAACAGTATAACTGATGATGCTATGATGTTAGATGATGGTGAAACATTAGAAAAAACACGTAGCCTTGTAAAAATCTTGTTGGATATAATTCCATCTATCAATAACGAGAATTTTATTTTTATTAGTGATATAATTATGGAATTTTTTTTCTTACTATGCAATTCTGCAATAACTACTTCGGGAAGAAACATGCCCAGATTAGATGATCTCTCCATCATTATAGATAATTTATTAGAATGGGCAAAGCAGGACAAAAATGATCGAATTCAAATTCGTTCACTTTTAATTCTACAGAAAATCGCAGAAACAGAAATAGGTGCTTTATTTATTCTTTCAAAAAAAGGTTACCTTCAGTTAATTAGCAATATGATGGCTTGGGTTCCTGATTTGCTTCGATCACAAGATTTACGAGTACAAGACCTTACTATTGCGTACCGTTCTATCATCTTTATTCTTACAATAATAAGATTTGTTTTTCCTGAACAATTGCGAGACGAATTCCCCTTTTTAAAAGATAATTTGGGGACTTTACCTGTATTATTTGACTCATATAAAGATGCTGAAATAATTCTCAAGTTGTATGAAAGTATTGAGCAGCATATTATTGAACTTCCATATGAATCCCATAATATAGATGAAGAGATGGTGTATGATCATTTATGTCAGTCTGTAGTTAATGTTATCAAAAGATTTAAAGATAATATACTTGTCTATATTCGAGAGATTAATGAAAATGAAGTGATGTTAAACATTGATGAAAATTTAAAAAAATTTAATATCAGGATTTCCGAAGTTATCAATGAGCTCAATAGTTATAATATTTCCATAAGGAAAGAAGTTGGATCCATAAGCATTGGTGTAGTTATCGGTAAGTAATTAATATATTATGGTTTTGAAATTTATCAAATCTAAATCTAACATGATATGACAATTATCCAGATGATTATCCGGATTTCCCATTTTATGATATTGTAGATGATTTTGGCGTTGGCGGATTATTTAGCTCTCCTGATATAGAAATAGATTTTGAAGTTTTCGCCAAAGAGATGTTGCCAAATTTCCAATTTCACAAAAAAATGAAAATTTCTGGTGATAGCGCAGCAAAAGGGAGAAAATTGCTAAAAACCCGCACTTTGAGTAAGCTTGGTGGTATTGCATACGAAAGCAATGCTCGAAGGAATTTGGGTGGGGGTAAGACTTATCAAAAAAATGAGTTTCGAAGCATCCATAATAACAGAAAAGCCAATACCAGCCGCCCTCCTTCGGTTCACGTTGATGATTTTATGTCTGGGAAGATTCCAGTCAATCAACAACATCCTGACATGTTGTCTACAACGACCGCAACAACAATTCCAACTATTCCAACTACAGTAGCTATTCAACAAAAGAAAACAAATGCCACGAATCGTGCCCAACCTCAGAATAAACGAGGTGGAATAATTACTGCTACCCCTAACACTCAATTGACTACTAATAATAGAGGACGAGGTAGAAGACCCAGTACAGGTTCGACATCGGTACAGCGAGGTGTTTCGCGTGGTGCTAGTAATAGTGGGCGAGGCGTAGGTGTAGGTAGAGGTAGTAATACAACTGCAGGTATTGTTGGTGGTTGGGATATGGGAAGTGGTACTTGGACTCCATCCATACCATTAATAATGGGACCACCAATGAATAAATATATGGAATTTGAAAGACGGATTGAAGGTCAACGTGATTATACTCGATATGAAGGTCAAACGATGCGTACTGGATATTATGATAACCAATATTATAGCATGCCTTCTCCAATGACTCCGTATGATCGTCCTCCAGTACAGCAATCAGCTCCTGGAATGGGTCCTCGGATTAAAAATGGAAGTGAACCCAGACGAACTGTTCCACAGGAATGGGCACCGCGTTCCATGACTTCTCAGCCTACAAGAAGGCCGGAAAGACCATTTGGTAGAAGATGATTTTTATCTAATTTATTTATTATTAATATTTAAAAAAATATTTTTGAATATTTTTGTAATTTTATCTTAATATATAAATAAATAAAATGCTTCCTTTCTATTCCACATTAAATATACGTCAAAATTATATTGGATTTATGAAAATTTTTCCTAATTTGTTGTATTATAAATAAATCTATTTTTTTTTTGATCAATCTAAATCAGTGAATAGTATTTACTAAAATAAGAAAATCTTCTTCTTCTATTACTATTTCTATTATTCTAAAGCTAATGTTTCTATCTCTATCTAGTGTTTCTTCTATTACTATTTCTATTTATCAGTTTCTTTGTATACATAGATTTTATACATATTTTTTGTAAAATATATAGATATTTTGCAGTAAAAAAGAGAGGACCAAAAAATTTTTTTTTGAATTAATGTTATATCTGGATTTATTTTACTAAAAAAAAATAATATTTAGCTTATAAAGTAAAAAAATTTTTTTAGTAGTTTTCCTCCTTTTTAAAGTATTTATATAACTTAATTAAAAAAGAGTTAAATAAGATTATATTATAAAAATGTCTATTAAATCAGATATTAATAATTTAGTTTATAAGATCAAATTTCTATTTTATTTATTTAATTATTATATAAAGATATGTATAAAAATTCTAATTTAATAATAAAAATTGTAATAAATATTTAAAAAAAATTTAAGAAAGGATTAATTTTACATTTACTTCTGATACAAATTCACTATAGTGAATTTGTATCACAGTTTATACAAAAATTTAAAAGTTAAAAATAAAATTTATCTTGAAAGTAAATTCTACTGATTTATATAATACGTAATATTATATAATTATTTGTTAATAAAATCATCATATTTTTTTTTTGTTTAGCACTTATTTGAGAAAATTTAGGTGTTTCTTCAAAATAATATAAAATATAATATACTTTCTTTTAATAGTTCTATTGGTTATAATAATGTTTTATATGATATCTTTTATTCTAATACTTTTGATATTTTTAATAAGAACTTTAATTATATTTCACTATATTATAATCTTTTTAATAATGATATAAACTTTTTGTCAGACTTCTGAGCTGCTATTCTTTAACAATAATGTTAATAATATATAACATTTTAAACTATTTAATGATATTCACGATTTTGATATTTTTAATTTAAATTATCTTATTAATATAATCTCATTGTAAGTAATTATTTTAATAATTTGTTATCTATTGATACATTTATACATTAATACTGTTTAAAATGAGATTTTGGTTATTAAATATTTTATAATAATAAGGATCTGAAAGATCCTAATATTATTTGTTATAATTTATTTCGATGTTCATCAATTGGTATTTATTTATAAAACTTAAAAAATGATTGATTATACAATTCACTATCTACTTAATATCATCAAAACAAATTGCAAATAGTATTACAATTTTATTTTCTGAAAACTACAAATCAAGTAAAATGTATTTCATTAATAAGTATACATAATTATAAAATAAATCTCACTTAAATATTAGATATTATTGTTAGATATACCTTTATTTAATATGATGAATTCTGTTAAATTATCAAAAAATGCATAGGTAGCATCAACCACTTATTCAATATATTCTAACATATATCCACTACTATAATTACAATCAATTTCTACATATCTACTATTACCATAATTAATTTCTATATATTGTTACATGAAAAAAAGACATGGATGATGATAATCTAAAGGATGACATTGATCCCTAGAAAATCATATATGTCTTCTATATCATCTATGTCATCTATAGCATATATTTCTTTTATACAATATATTTCTTTTATTTATTTTATTTTATTTATCTCATA